CTGCAGATGTGAAGATCTCACCTGACTTCCCTCAGAATAAGGGTGCCTTTGCTTTTCGTAAAAGTTGGGGTGTCATAACCCGCCCTGAAGTTCCTCATCAGGTCGCTGATTTTCTATTCTGCCGGACAGAAAAGGCTCTGGTTTACTGAATAATAATAATAAAAAGGTTCTGTGGTTACGGCTCCAAGGCTGGCAGCACAGTGTGAATACAAAGCTCCTTTTATTTGTACTGTTTGATTGGCGGTATTCAAAAAGTTTTCATCAAAAGTGTACAAAATTTGGACATAGGGTCAGCCAAAATCAAATGTATCTTTCTTGGTTTTGTCATCTCTCTCCTAGCCTCTTCATTGTCCCTTTCTTTGTCACTTTTTCTTTTCATGGTTGCTGCTATTTTGCAATGTCATACTTTTTAAAGGGCAAAAGAGGCGTAGCTGCACCTGGTGGCAGGATGTTGTGTATTGTTTGAGGATGAAGGTCTGAAACAGGACGGCTGGTTGGGGGTCAGGCTCGGACTCCTGTCTCACTGTCCTAAAGCAGCTGCAGAATGAAGTCTTGGGCATTGACTTTGCCGGTTAAGAAGAGAATCCCAGGGCCATTAACACACCGTCCAGGACCTGAGGGCACAGCTTCAGCGTTTTCAATACACCCCAATCACGCATATTATCCCAATACCTTTAGCTAGCTAAGCAAGAATACAAAGACAGGGCCTAAAAGACATTATTGACAAAAACATATTTAATCAATGCATGATGTGTCAGTCTTCATTTCACTTGTGGGATTTCCCAGAGAGGTTTTTGGGAAGATTTTATTTTTGGCTTTCATGCTATTTCATCGCATGTTAACTCTTTGGGTGTATGTTACATCATGCATGCCTTTTATAGGAAGCAATGCATGTGGGGGTATAGCTCAGCAGTAGAGCATTTGACTGCAGATCTAGAGGTCCCAGAAAGAACTTGTTCTCAATTCCTTGGCATGGCAAGAGTTTTTAGCCTTGCAGACCCCCATGTATGTCAGCATTTTAGGTGAAGTTGGCACAAGTCAGTCTTCTTTATATTAATTTAAAATTCAGGTTTAGACTGTCGCCATTTCTTTTTCTTTTGAATTCATCATCCAACAAGTGGCTTAGTTTCAGGTACCAGGTGTCCAAAACTTCACTAATTAGGACTCCACTGCTGCACCTGTCAGTCTAAAATTTAATCAATAAATATATGGCATGCAAAGGAACTTCGGAACTTCCCTTGTGTATCAATAAGAGAATAAACTGATTAAAGGTATAGGGATGTTAAATATGAGACTATTTCTAAGATTAAAAGAGTCTAATTGGGAACAATTAAAAACCCATGACAATGAAACTGCTGATAGAACAAGAGCCAACATACACAATGTAGAACCCAGGCTCAGAGAGCAGAAGCACCACCATATTTTTTTCACTAAACCAGCTGATGCTAGTTAGCACAGCTCTTCAGCCAGGTAGCGTTCATCAGTGAAATCAGCTGGTTTAGGTCATGGGTGGAGCAAATAGATGGTGGTACCTGTGCTCTCTGAAGCCAGGGGTTTCCACCTGTGCACAGGAGTCCCCAAGACCAAATTTGGAAACCGCTGCATCACCCTAATAAACCGAGCAGTGCGTATTTCTGCATACTGAAATTCGGAATTCAGAATCTATCTAACTGAAACAATTCAAATGAGCGCCAGCGTGGGTGGAGATCTCACTGAAATACAGTTCTGTCTGCCTTGAAGAGCCCTCATTAATTTATATCAAGATCTGACTCCAGTGGGCTTATCATGCAATCTCAGAATCAGAATGTGCTCCCATATTTAAGCAAATTGAATAATTTGCATCGTATCTACAAAAGGGAATCGATGTGATGTTGTGTAAAAACCACTGAAGTCTCAGACTGACATTGTGTTTGCATTTGTTCAGTCACACTACCATAGTGAAAACACTGGATTTTGGTAAACTGGTCTTGTACTATGCACATAACACACTTATTTTCCACAGAAATAATTTGACTTCCTGGCCTAAGGCACAGGAATACTTAAACAAATTGAGGGGAACCACAAACAAGGAAATTCCTCAAAAAATAAGGAAAAATATGATATATATAATATGTAATATAACACTTTTCTCTGATTTCAAATCACACTCAGTGGAAATGTAGTTTATTCCCAGGAAATAAATCTCTCTTTAAATAAAAGTCTTGCTTCACCTCACCCTGAACAAACTCTCCACAGAGACTGGACGAATATGACATTTACAATATACCACTGTTAATATTATTAGGCTAGCAAGTTTAAAAATATGAACTATTCCCTCTCGTTCTCCCATAAATTCAGTTCAAGAATTATTTCTTGAAGTCCCACATTAAATGTAGCGGAGGTTGCTTTGGGGTACAGTTTTATTTGTTTTTGTGAAAAATGTGTGAAAGTTTAGCCGTAATTTGGTATCATTTTATATCAGTATTTCTTCCTCAGAATGTTTGAGTTCTTTTATTGATCTGTTGAGAGTATCTGCTTGAAAACGTTCTACTATACTTAGAGTTCTGAAAAGCATGTTAATGTAACACATTATAAACATTTTCTCTCGCATGAAATCTTTCTGAAGAGCATCCAACAAAATAAAAAAAAATGTAAAAATTCATAACTTTTATGACTTCCTAAGATTATCAACAAATAAAACTGCGCTTACTCAATTAAACTCAAGCAAGGATCGCTGTCTTTCAGATGAGGTAAGACATGATGAAAATGAGTCTGTCTCATGGTTAACATTCATAGCAGTTACAACCTATAGAGAAACTGTGTTTGATTTATTATTCTCTGTTAAGAAATGGGTAAAATGAAAGTACACTGAAATTGAATGTGTCCCATGTCATGCCAAACTACAAAAGATGGATGGAAGTTGAGCACACACACACACACACGCATGTGCGCGCACACACACACACAGACACCAATAGATAGATAGATAGAGAAATGGCAGGTTAGAGAGCATTGAGTAATGCCATGCTTTTAGGCTTTGATGTTTCGTAGCATACAGCATACAGCAGTGACACCAGTCCGATCAGGCTGTCACAGGCATTCTCTTAAAAATATGCATAACCAAATGTAGAAGTCGTTGCCAGCTGTCAGTTTTTTTTACCCTGCATATTTTATATTGTCATGTTTACATTTCCTTAAGCCATTCATCTCACGCACTCAGGGTAGTCTTTCGCTGAGGAAAAGTCAACTGTTTGTTTTATTTCTGGGAGAACATAGAAGATGTTTTCTCTATTGTTTTTGCTCTACAGATCTCTGTCAGGCTCTCCTCTGTTGATCTATTTTGAGTACCCAGAAGCCAGTGTGGGCAGAGGCAAGAGGCTGGGGCTGGGGGGATGCAGCAGGGAGCTGATTGGCTGTGGGGTATTGACAAGAGTCCCATATTTCATACCAAACCCTGACCCCAGCTAGACCCATGACTGTAGGCTCTGTTTTTTGGATCAGGTGCTCTGTTAGTTTAATCCACCTGGCTCTGAATGGGGCTCATTCCCTTCTGCCAAAATAGTTCTCACAGAGGAAATGACATACCACCATCTAGTGTTGGCCTCTCAAGATGGACATGTTATGGAACAGAGAATAAAAGTAAAGAGAAAGAAGATTTGTATTACCGCATATGCAGATAGTGCAGCCTTATTCAAACTATTGTGTGCAATTATCCTCAGGAATACCTTGTGTACTTTTGTGCACTTTGTACACCTCTGGGAGCAGTGTGTGGTTAGAAGAAACCAGGTCAAAGCTAAAATGTTTTGGACTTGACAAATACTGGAGGCTGATACTGTTCATACAAATAAGCATGACAAGGAGGAAAATCAGGTCTGTAAAAATATATAAGGCCATACTCATATTAATGCCTCCTCATGTTCAGCTGTGTAAACTTTACATTTTGACAAGAAGCCATAGCTCTATATGTGTTTGCTGGTCTGGAATCTTTGCAGGTGATTTTGATTGGATGGTAACTCCCAGTGTGTAGGCATCCAAAACAGTTTCAAGTAATGATTCTGTATTTCTGAACATTATTATGTTTTATTTTGTGTGCATCAACAGACAATGTATAAATATTTAAAATATGCAGTTTTAAGAGCTACATTTTGATCCAGTGATTTTTCTTTTAAAGGGATAGGCTGATCAACATCCATGCCCCATCTGATGTCAGTGTGCACATTTCCACAGTTTCCAACCAGAGAACAGCACAGCACAGAACGGCACGGCATGGCACAGAACGGAACGGAACGGAATGGAACGGCACTGCACAGCACGGCACATCTCCCGTGCTTCGCTAAGTCTCCTGTGAGCGAGAGCTCATAAACTCAGATCTCTATCAGCATCTCACAACAGGACACACTGCACTGTGCTGATACAGCCACGGGGCACAGAGGCTGAACGGTGCTAAGGCCTAGATTATCACAACTTTCAGCCAATCCCAGGGCAAGCTCTGCATCACAGTCCGTCTATCTGCTTCAGGATTTCATACAAACTTCTGCTCTCGCTTGTATCGATAAATACATATTAAAGCACAATAACTAATTAAACATTGTGTTAATAAAATTGAAATAATGTGCTTGAAAGGAATTCACAAGAAATTACAGTCCGACTGCCCTTTATCTCACTCTCTCTCTCTCTCTCTCTCACACACACACACACACACACACATATACACACTCACACACACACAGGTTAGTCCAGGTCAAATCATCACACATGAGAAACTTTTCTCTGTGACCTATATTATGGGAGACATGGCAAGTAAAAGTCACAGAGTCATGCTAATTAGTTCAAACTTTGTTAGCCCACATCTCCCTCAATAGCGATCCGAGACACGTGCAATTTTGGTTGCACGGGTTTCTTATATGACCAAATCAGCATGCCAAATTTGATTAATATCTATGAAGATGCGGTCCTAAAGTGTGCTGATTTAACCCAGACTTACCCACGCGCACTCATATACACAGAGACTACTTTGCCAGGGGTGATGAAGCTCAGTGGTAGAGCATTTTAATGCTGATGAAAGGGTTGCAGGTATAAATCCTGTGGCACCCTGTCCAACATGAACCTTAGTCTTCATGCTTCATCCTGAAGGGTGAGAATAATATAATAATTTCAGGGATTCATTTCCCAAAAAGAGAAGCTCAGAAGAGTGGGGGTATGACTCAGTCACAGAGCATTTGACAGTTAAGCAAAATGTCTCAAGGTAAATCTTGGTGCATTCTGGAACAATGTAACTTTGAATTTGTATATTTCATCATAAATTTAGTAGAATAATATTAGAATGTCAGGAATATATCCCCATATATTTTTCCTTTCATTGTGAATGGGGGTATAGCTCAGTGGTAGAGCATTTGACTGCAGATCAAGAGGTCCCAGGTTCAAATCCTGGTGCCCCCTTTAATTATTTTCTATGTGTAGTAGGGAATGATTATGAGCCAGTTCCTGCTGATTGAACCACAGGACTAAACACTCTCTGCTCTGTTGGAAAACTGTGACCTGATTGAGGAGGGAAAGATTTCAATGTACTCAATGTGTGGTGAAGGAAGGATTCTACAGTCTGACACAGTGTATTATTCACATAGATTGAAGTATGATGCAGGATCATACGTTGCTCACATACATTTCTCTGTCTCTGGGATAAATTATCTGCATGTGAAGACTTACGTCCTTACAGTGTACATTTATGTCTCTCCATAGCCCTGTGGCGCTCTTTGCCCTCTTTTTGTTATTGTGTGTGTGTGTGTGTGCGTGCGTGCATGGGTGTGTGTATATGTGAGTGTGTGTATGTGCATGTGTGTGTGTGTGTGTGTCTGTGCCTGCCTGTGTTTTATCCTCCATAGTCCAGCCCTACCTGGAAACTACTATGCAAAAAAAAGAAAAAAACTCCTGAGTTTAATAGTTTGATCATGTATGGCATTCAGGCTGCCATTTCAAGGTTGAGATGGGGTTGTGATCGTTCGGCTCCCCATTTACCTGTACAGTGATTGATTCAAAGATTGCAAGCAGCAGCCAGCTGAAAAGACTGGAATTGTTATATTAAACTGTAAAGCCTTCTCCTTAAGGAGAGGTCTGTAGGCAAAGATTCACTATTAGTAATGGGTGTGTGAGGTATTGTAACAAAAGTGGGTGGGGCTTAAATTAGATGTCAATCATGGACTTGTTTCAACCAATCAAAAGACACTTTCCCTTGATAACAAAATACACTGATTGGTTGAAATCTTTAAGTTACAGGTGACACATGATGTAACTTGAGACCCTTCTGGGTAGACTCAGTTAAATATGTTAAATGCAACTAAGTTAAATGTTTGCTGTCTCGTGTTCTCTCCCCTTTATTTCAAGTGGAACACCTGAGCTCGATGAACTTATACCAGTGCTTTACCTTCACTCCAGTAAGTTTAATGGTATTTTTCAAATGATGAAATATAATAAAACCATTAAATCAGCCTGTGTTTCTGTTTGAGATTCTGCTTTAAACCTCTACAAATCAAAGTAATTTGTTTTCCATAAAAATCCATGTTTTCTGCCCTCCACTTCTGAGTAGCAAACAATGAATGCATTGTCTTTATTTTCTTATCTGTCTTCTTTGGCACGGTGACTCACTTCACGCAGGCACTCAAATGAGCCTCACTTTGCGACCTCCTGTTCTGTGATTGGCTCAGCAGCAGGTCCTCTGCAGATGGCTGCCCGAGATTCTGCATGCGGATTGTGCTTCAGAGAAAATGGAGGCACGTTATGCCTATCCATGACCAAGCACCCTCAAACAATTCTCTGTGCGTGTCGTCTTTTCTCCCACAGGTGGCTAAATGAATCAGGTATCCACCTCTTAACACTTAATGCTCCTGGCCGGCACATACCCAATGCAAACACTGCAGGCAATAAAACCACCCAGTCCCACATTAAAGTGAAGCAATTCATTGACTGTCAATGCATTGTGACTCCCGATGTGGAAACAAATATAACTGTATCAAGAGATAAAGCAGACGTTTTGTGAAGGCACCTTATTGCTGTTCTTACCTTGTGACTGTCACTGCAACTTTAACTAGTTTGTGTAGTCTTTATCACTGGATCTGGGAGTATGTGCATGTGTATATGCTGTATATGTGTACACATTGAGCAGTGGGCTCTGATGACAGTGTGATTATGCTGAGACTTGGCCTTTCAGAGTACACACATGAAAGATTCATAGAGTGAGATTATGCAGAAGTGCTTAAAACACTGTGGAAAGAAATCACAGACTGGAACTGATTCCAGAAGGGCTGTTATCTTTATTTATACTTAAACTTCTCTTCCAGAGGCTTCCCATGATTGGCTAATAAAACCATGCTCCACCCCTCACCCAGAAGCCGGTGCTTATGATTGGTTGCTAAAACCATGTTCCACTCCAGTGTGGCAGTCTGGGGGTCCTCCTCTTTCTAACCTCTACTTTTGGCCTGGGTTTCTTCCTCTTGGTGTCGATGTATCCTACCAATGAAAGGTGTGGTTAAGGCACACTTCACCAACAGACCATGTTTCACTAGAAATTATAATCCACACAGCAAAATCTTTCATATCAACATACACTTTTTTTTAAAAAAAGAAAAAAGCATTCCTGCTGCCATGAACATGTTGAATGTGGAACATAATGACTATGTTACACTTTGCTGTATGAGCTCATATGGACTCATCTACCTTTAGCCCAGAGAGTGTCCAGCCTGGACTTTTGCACTCCAAAGAGCTCTGCTTCTATTACTTGATCCGGCAAGCTGAATCTGGCAATACTTAAAACAATACTTCCTGATATTTGTGTGCCATTGACTTTCAATTTCCAGCTGTGCTTCCTTTCACTGCAGACATAAATCAAACAAAAACTTCTGCAGCAAACTAAAGATTTAGGTTTTGAGGTAAAGTCAAGTAAGATTTATAAATTTGACATTTTTGGGAAAAGTATTATCAGAAAAACATAAATATTCAGCGACAACAATAAGGCCTGAGTTAATTCAACCATGACTTTAATTATATAAAACAATTTTTTTTTCTGTATTTTGTTATTTTATTTAATTTGTATTCAAGTTTAAGGACAAAGTGCATGATGCTTAATTTAACTTTTCCCTTGAGTCTGACCGCATTAGGACTGCAGAATGACAGTGCCCCACAGCTGTCAAGATTTCCTATAAAATATTATTCAGTATTTTATGGTAAAATATGACAGCTGGGGCGCATTGCCCTGTGTTTTGTCATTGAAAAATGACATGTGATGCTAACAAGTTCCCTTGAGGTCTCGAATCCAACAGAATCCAGCATAATATCAAAAGCCCCTCTGTGGATAAAAGATTGAATCTGTTTTGTCATAATAATGGAAATATACCGAAGTACTGTGAAGTTGTAATGGCTGAAATGAGATTTCGTGAACCCTGTTTGGGTGGAGCTGAAATCTCTCACAGCTGTCACTCACAACTGTCAATCATTGACAGTCAAAATAGTTTTTCTCTCTACAGTCAAATTGGTGATTGGTCCAGTTCATTGAGTTGTTAATAGTTAATGGTAAATCCTTTCATTTTTGCTCAGTGCAACTTCACTTCCCCATTGCTATTGTGAAGTTAGTCAAGATGTTATCTTGTTATGACTGATGGCTGCTGTATCTTATGAGCTTGTCAAGTTAGTGTGCGAGTCAGTTGTGGTAGTCACACTAGAAACCAGTTGCATTTGCTGTATTCTCCATGCTTTATTACTTTGCCTGTTCCTGACATTAATAGAACAAATGAAGGAAACATTATTTTTTATTTCATTTGACATAGAGTCAGAGGAGAGAGGAAGAAATAGGAAACGTACAGAAAAAAAGTTCAACCTGTCAGAAAACGTCCAGCCAGTGCTTTGATGCCAATGTTTCAAAAGATATGAAATAGCTAAATGAAGATGAAGGCACTGTGCAAGTTACCACACTCATCTGAGCACTGGACAGTAAGGAGGGAGATGTTTTTAAATCTGTTAAAGAAAAACGCCATCCACGAAAGAGCATGCTTCATTCAGTGAGCGCGGTGACAGGAAGAGAAGGCCGTTCCTGACAATAATAAAACAAACGAAAGAAAACACTTTCTTTCATTTTTCTTTCTCTCAAGTGGTGTATTTTTTGCTCCTCTCATCTTTCACTATACCTCTTTCATCCTTCCCCTCTTTTCATTATGTTGCTGCTTCTGCCTGCTCTTCTCCTCTCTCTCCTTCCCATTCACTGCCCCTTGCTACTCTTCCTGTTTTGCTCGTCTGCCCCAGCTCTGTGTCTTTTCACACTCTCCTCTTTTCCCCCTCTCTCATCCCAGGATGTGGAAAGTTTACGTTTTGCACCTCTGGCTTGGGAGAGGCCGAGCGCTGCTGGCTCCTCCTCCTCCTCTGTGGGGATCTGGATGGGGTTCCGTGATTGACGCTGGAGGGAGGCGGGGCCAGGCAGTGCGTGCTGTCTGCGAGACCGGCCCTCGTCCTCCAGGGCATCCACACCTAAAGGGGGGAGGGGCAACAGTGAAGGCAGAGTGACCTGCTGAATTCAGTGCCTACTGAGTACTGCCAGCACCTGAGTCAATAACTTACCATGAATACATAATTCCCTTTCTGCTGGAAAACAACACTTTTATCTCCTAAAACAAATTAGCATTTACCATTGGCTCTTACCTAGAAAGACTTACAAAGTTACTATGTCTACTATATGCCTTTAGTTACTGAAGTAGTTAAGGGCTTTGCTCAAAGGTAGACCAGCAGCGCCCATCCTGGGAATAAAATCCACTAATTCTGAGTTGGAAGCCCAGCTTTTCCTAACCATTATTCTACACGGCTTCCCAAACAAAGGAGCTTTGTAATTGCACTGCATTACTTACGTTTTTGTCACATTAGGTTTTGAATAAACTTTATCAGTCACACAACCATGAACCATTGACAGAGGGACAGCTTACAGCTCATGATGTGAGCTTTCTATTCAAGGATCTGACATCTGCAACTTGCCTTTTGGGACTTTTTATGAGTAGCAGCTTTGCAAAAAAAAAAAAAATCAGCAAGGCTGTATTTTCAAAGGAATTTTATAAGAAATT